GTTCCTCTTCCTTTTCCACCATAAGTCCAAGTGGTCTGCAGAGACATCACGATCTGCATAGCATTGTGCCCTTAAAAGAACTGCTCCTTTGTGTTAGATTACTTGAAAAAGGATGTTCTTTTGCCCTTCTGGAATGACCAACCAGACCTACATCAAATCTCCTGGGGACATATTATTGTACTCAGGAATGTCTACTGAAGGTATATATGAAACACTGGGGCAGTATGAAGTATATACACAGCAATTAAATAACATTGATGACTTTTTCTTCTTTCTTGGGCTTGGATTATCTTACAACAACAAACATTAAATACCTACTGTTTTTCCTCTTTTTTTTTGAAATTTATTTATTCTCCCAGTTTGTCACAAAAAAATGATCACATATCGTTATTTTGCTATGTGCAACTTTTTAATCACATCAGAGGTTCAACCGGATTTTTAATAATTACTTTTAAATCTCTCAACAGAGGTTAAACTTTTTTTTAAGTTCTGTTCTTTTGTCACGCCAATAGCTTTAGTGTATTTGTCTTGTCTTTTTTTCGCCGCATACACATCTCACAGGCCTTTAACTAACAGGTCCATCCCTGGAATGGAACACAAATGCTTTTTACTTAATGAATAGTTTTGGGAATTACACTGTGCTTTTTTTCGTGTTCAATTCGATCCAATATACGTCAGTGGGCCCTTTCGGGTTGCCGCAAGTGGCGCGAGGAGGAGGAATGTTGGTGTCGAGTTGGTGAAAAATCAAGTATAGAAAACATTAAAGTTTTTTAGGTGGGGCATGGTTTGAAAGTTTAAGTCTCTTTGGCATGCACATTGTCCGGTTAGACTTTTTTAAATTGTAAAAAATTTGAAAAAATAATAGGTTTTTCTTTTTTTTTTTTGCACCTCTTTGTTGGTCTTTGGGCTCGCAAGAATCTACGGAAAAAAGTCTAAAGTTTGCCAGGAGAACCGAAGACATTATCATCTTTAGATGTTTTCATTCTTTGGCGTCTGATAGTTATTTAGGGCAGGGGGAGGAGAGGCAGGACTCTGGTCATAGATATTACAATTAAATTCACTGGACCAGAGCCCCTGTAATTATCATTCAGCTCTCCCCGTTGGCGCTCGGCTGAGATAGACACACGCAGAGCGAATCACACTGCGAAGGCGTCTAGCGTCACACGCACCACACACCCATGTTTTTCCTCCGGTCACCACGGACTCATATAGCTTCGCTTTACATTCTTGTTGATCGCATTCAAAATAACATAGTTCGCTTTCTTTGCTTTGCACACAGTTATTGTCCATAGATTATTTCTCTTATTATTCCTCTTAATTCCTTTTTCCAGCGACACGCCACACACGCACATAGTTTCTTTGTTCAGCTGTTTCTTGTCTTCACTGTTTCCTGCTTTTCCAAACTGAAACTAAAGTTTTAATTTATTGCCACTGGTTGTGGTGGGAGGAGAGAGGTCACAAAAAAAAACAACAAAGAGAGTGTGCAATACTCCCTAGTCTGTGCTATCTCAAAAATCAAATCTCACACTCCACAAAACCTAACGCAACACCACCAGCTTAAATCGCAAAATAAAGCCCTTAATAGAAGGTCTCGTTTTTTTTTCAACTTGGGGCTTCTCGTCAAAATTATTTTAATTGGCCGTGGGTGTATTTCAACTTTGCTTCCACTTTTCCTACGTAACTTAGTCATGGAATGCAAGCAAGGGTAAATTTTAAAAGATTTTGGCCTTTTATGCATAAAAATTGGATCGACCATTATTTTCATCCCGGGTGGCCTCCCCGGGGGACCTAAACCATGCTATATAAGGCAAGGGCCCCAGGGGGACCAAGGGACCACCATCTCCCCCAAATCCCCTGGTCTGCAACCCCAAAAAAAACAGGGGGCGGGGAGGAAAAAATTTAAACTCTCTTTCAATCATATATAAGGGGGATATCTCAGGGGGCCACCTATAATAAGGAGGGGTCTCTGACGGCCCTCTAACGGGAAGTCACCGGCAAGGGTAGCATGGACAGTGAGCTGTTCGGAAGTGGTTTGGTCCGGGCATTTCCTGAAGTTCGCCGCGCAGGAGCGGCCCGTGCTGCTTGTTTTTTTGTATGGAGCCACACAATCCCCACCTGGATCCAGGAGCTGGTCCGGGTGGGCACGAGAGGAGGGGGGTCATTCTCCGCTGTGCCTTCCAACCGCCAACACCACTTGCTCACATCTGCCTGCAGCCTCTGGATATGAGTTTCTTTGGACCCTTGAAGGCAGATTTCTCTGGAATTACAGGAGATCTGTCGGTAATGAGCCAAGGGTCATAAGACCCCAACCACCTGCCACAACCCCTGTCAAAATCATTTTTCAATTTCTCCAGTGATTTGTTTTTTGATTAAATAATATAATTTTATGCATTTATTTGTTATATTATACTATATACTGTACTAACTCTGCACTGAGTGTATTACAGGTAATTGTTATATGTGCATACAGCATATGTGTCTATAATTGCTAAATTAAATGCATCAGCTTGTATTTTACAAGTAACTGATATGAGAAGGTATAGGTATAGCAGTAGCTATAGCTATCCGTATAACTTTGCTGCATAAATTAGAGTTGTTGAAGCATTGTATCTTATTTTGAAGAAGGAAAGTACGGTCCCAGATGAGTTGATGTTAGTTTGTCAGTCTCAGGAACAACTTAATACCCCCATAACACCAGCAGTGTTCAATGTTTACAGCGGGCGGACGCGGCCGTTCGACTCGCGACACCGGCAACTCACGGCTAAATCACCGGCGTTAGCATCCTTTTTATGGTTAAAACGATACACGGTTAGAAAGGTAAGAAGTTCGTCTTTACTTTAACACCTTAAAATCAACCATTACATGATCATTTATATAAGTAGTTTAAGGGAATATCTATAGAATGTTAGCATGAAAATCGTTCAGGTCGTAGCGCCTGTTATTTAAGTCTATTTAGTAGTATTTAAGTATATCTGGCCATTTTGTACATATTCTCTCACTCTTTATATTTGTATATAGAGGCTCCTTTTTATTGTCTCTATTTTTTTTTATATATATATATTTTTCTACGTTTCATTGTGATTCTTATGCACCAATGTACCAAGGCAAATTCCTAGTATGTGAAAACTTACTTGACAATGAACCTGATTCTGATTTGGAGACGCAGGGCTCATCTGCAGCTTAGATGAGCACCTATAGGTGTGATCTGGATGATTTAATTACATACCGATCTAGATGCATGTAAATCCCAGTAGAAAAAGTTGTGGTAAAGTGGTAACTTGGTAAAATGGGAATGTAGCTTGTGATCCTGCAACAAACTATCCTTTTCAATAATCTTTTAAAAAATGTTCATACCTTCAACACTGGCTTCAAATGACAGACTGAAGCCAGCTGCATTTCCGTTAGTGTCACTGACAAACCTGACATAGGCAAAACTGTCAGACGTGTCCATTGAAGCAGGGAGTGTACTGCCGCAGTGTCGGCCCAGTAGGCGACCTAAACACAGGAAATGTATTTTTAGTTTTAGTCAGTGATTTGCATCTAAAGCCCAGTTCAGACCAGAGATTTAAGATGAGGCAAATCTGTTTTAGAACATAGTAGGAAAAAGTTTCAGCAGTTTGAACTGGCCCGTCTCAGCTTTACTCAAGCTGGCTGATGGTGTTGCCTGTGACTTAGCTTGTCTCAAGTGGCTGGTTTTAGAAATTCAAGGCATGTCATCTGTTTTAAATAGCCAATATCAGCTCGTTCTAAATTTAGCTGGTGAAGTAATTTACAAACTGTCAGGTGGTTGAAAGTTTTGGATTGATGAAATCGAGGATCACCAATCAGTTTGTTTGAGGAACAGTCGTGTCTATATTACATAAGCCTTAAGATATACTCAAATAAAGAGCACCCTGACAGCTCCAGATTTTGACCATTTTGTATTGTTTTTGCTGATTCATCAATACTAGAAATGAAACTGTACCAAATAACTCTATCACTCATTTATATTTTAAGACACGACAAATTATTGTAATTATCCAGCTACAAAGCCTGAAAAGTTGGCAGTCAGAACGTAAATACAAAGAGCCGTTTCTGTAAACTGACGGAATTTTAGAATGTAGCAGACTGGCTCATTCCAAGTAGTTGCAAGTTTCACTTCGTCTCATCATGAATCTGTGGTCTGAACTGGACTTGTTGTCTTCTCATGCCAGTCAAGTAATGTGGTTTGCTTCACCCATTTTTTTCTTGTGTCTTGGGATAAGCACATTTTGCTCACATTGAAGCATTTGCAACTTGTTTGTTGCAGATGTGAAGCAACAATGTAATGTAATCATGTTGAAATTTTAAAATGTTTAATAATTTAGTTTATTACATACTCTGGTGGTGGTTCTAAAGACACAACAAGAGTAGTAGAATTGATCCCCTGGCTTGCTCACCTGAGGCATTGTACTCTCTGATCTCCACATAGTCAGCAGAACATCCTGGAGCAGTCTGCAGGCTGATGTTCCTGTAGTTGATAGTGAGGTAGTGGCCAGTGGGCCCCTCCAGGTACCACTCACAGCTAGAGCTGTCAGGATAGTTGGATTCTGGGAACCCAGGGCTGTGGATTGTACCCCTCTGACCTATGTAGGTACCTCCACATGTTGCTGTACGGAAATTGAGTTACAAAATCAGTGTTTGAACGTTTATTGTTTTACAATCCTGATGTGGATACCAAAAGTAATTTTTACCACATCTGATTAGTTTCCCATTTTGTTTTACAGCAAAACAACCTAAAACCTGTAGTCAAACCTTCTATGTAGAATTTAAAAAGTTTAGATCCGTGGATTTGGAAAACCATCTTCAGATGGTGTTTAATGACTGTGCCTACTAATGATGTAATAAATTGCCTACCTATTGAGAACTTTGCCTTGAAGCCTTTGTGCGTGACACTGGTATCAGTACGAAACCTGAGCAGCATGGAGGAGCCTGTTGAATGTTGGGTAGATGGTAGGGTATTGCCACAGAGCCGGGAAATTAAGTCAGTGTCGGAAGTTGAACCATCACGCACCTCCAAGTAATCATACATACAGCTGAGAAATACATGAATGAATAATTTAAAACATGTCTTGTCTTGGTCATAATCCCAAAAGCATTGCTTACATTTTTTAAATAAACATGGCCATTGTTTTTAAACTTCTCATTTAAAGATTTCTCTAATGAAAGGGTTTAAGGACTGCCGGCTATCAAGTTTAAGGACAAGGCTGAAACAGTGTTGATGACCCCATTTTACATCTCCAAATTCTCATATATATCAGTCATAGTGTTTTCACATTAATTTACAGCTCGCTCCCACTCCCAACTCGTCAAATATGGCGAGTGGATAATGGCCCTACGCTTCAAACTATGCAACTGCAGGTCCCCCTCTAAAATAAATTGTTGGAGGTTAATCCGATAGAACGGGTGATCTGTGGTTTAAACTCTAATCTCTCAGGAAAAGGTGGGCCTCTTCCACTGGTGAGTAGATACACCCTTTTCATTTTAAAATACCAGCATAAATATTCCCTGCTAACAAGTGGATGTGTGTGTGTGTGTGGGATCAATCGCTCCACTAAGCTATGGACGCAGTTGCTGTAGCCTCCCCTCTTCAGCTCTGGCAAACATTGCTGGTTGATGTAAAACCCATCAATACTGATGCTCCAGCATAGGAATGTTGCCACAGACTTATACTCTGTATACTTTGAAGTACAAAGTACTGGCAGTGATGGGCTTAATCAGCATTTGGGAAGGGCTTAAATGAAATGGATGTTTATTTGTAAAAGTCCCATACTCCAGCTTTAAGTAAGGTATGTAAGTTAATTTACATAAAATACTTAAGTCAGGTAGTAGTGTAACTTCACGTATGTAATGTAATTTGGCAAAATTTTCCTCAACCTAACCAAATGTTTTTTGTGCTGAGAATTAACCAAAGTTCAACTGTTTTATGTTAACCATGCAAGATTTATTTTAGAAGTCTAACCGAACGTTGCATATTTGTTATTACTAACTTAACTGAAGAGCCCTGCACATCCAGAAATTTTGCTAGAGGGGCATCTACAGGTTCATATTTTTTTAAGAGTTCCATACCATATTTGATGAGTTGGGAGTCAGAACAAGTTGGATTTTTTTTAAATAAAAAGTGTATGTTCAGTTTCCAAATACTGTACACTCACTAAAATATATAAATAAATCTATGCAGTCATAAACAGGTAAACAGGTACAAATGTAGAACAACAACCAGAAGACAAAAGTAGCAGCTTTACCTGGCAGTGGGCTCAATGTAGAATTCATCTTCAAAGTCAATTTGGACAGCTTCTCCATTGGGTACAGTAATGACCCAGATACAGTCAATGTTCTGGGGGTAGTTCTGAGGATAATTCGGAGAAGTGATATATCCTGGAGGATCGTTATCATTCAGCTCAATGAAGCCTCCACATGCTGCGAAAACAGAGAAAGAATAACTTTATATCGGACCACTTTGCAGTACTGACTAGGATTACTTATGCATCAAGTCCATATCCTCCCTATCCCTATCACGACCAGACATCTGTGCCCCAATGGAAGCTGCCATGAGTTTCCTCTCCACCATGTTGTAATTGTAAATGAGAATTAGTTGTCAATCTACTTATCTGGGTTAGGTAAAATAAAAAATAAAAAATTGTCTCCACGTTCAGCTCTCTCTCTGTTCTAAGGTGTTTTTCTATTTCCCATGTCACATGCCCAATTTATGGATGTATTATGTTTTGTGTTATAATATGTGACATTTCCGCATTAAAACATCTATAAACACTAGACCTATGTTATATATGTTGTTGAGTTGTGTATTTTAACTATGTTTCTAACAATGTTCAAACCCAGAGAAATCTGTGATTTTATTCCGTTAACGATGCATTTTACCAGTCGCCTGTCAATGGCTTCATATCTCTTTTGTGCATGTGTCAGTGTTGTGGTTATCTACCAGCAGAACCTTTAAATCTTTAAAAATGTTTAAGTATATATTTTCACCAGATGAAGTATTTCTAGATCTTAAGTTATCAGCGAAACAAGCTGAGCTAACCTTAGCAGCAGTTTGTCTCGGACTTCCTTTGTGCACTAGGGTTGGAGAAACACAGATTTTTAAGGTTAAACTGCTTTATTCTCCCAGTTACACAATAAACACTGAAGGTATCCTAATGGTAGAAGTTGACTGCAATGGCAGCAATGGCAACTCCCATGATCCCACGCTACTTCACAGTGCCATCAAACTTTTGTTATCTACTTTAGGTAATATACTGACTATGGAAAAGTATCTCATACAACTCCACTGCATGAACATTCCTGCTTGTACAAACACCAGCCAATATGATATTGTGATGAATTCTACTGTGATAGACAAAATAGTGGTGGTTGTACCCTGACTGTGGGCTTCAAAGGTCAGCTTAAACCCGCTGCCCTCATTAGTGGCATCAGACACAAAGTGAATAAAAAGGTGGTTGTCAGTAGTTTGGAGGAGGGACGGGGGACTTGAACCACAGACACGCTCCCCCAGTGGTGGAGATGAACCATCTGGACCATTCCTGAGCTGTGGAGACAACAGTGAATGAAGAATGACTGGGAATAATAAAATAAACAATTAACTTTGTCATTAATAGTGCAAAACCTCAGACAGAGAGGAAGACAAGAAAGATTTTTTTCATGAGGCGTTTTTTTTTTACACTTACTCCTCGGTCTAGAACAAGTTTTATAATCCACTGTTTGAAATGCCAAGATACATGAATGTTTGGTTTTTTTTATTAGGAGGAGCAAACAATCAGATTTTGAGATTTGATGCTTTATTCACTCTACGGAGCTCCCAGACATTTCAATCTCCCTGGGTGATTCACATATTAAGTTGAGGTAACTAGGCTCATATGTTGGAAAAAAAGTTTAAACTAGATGGGACGAGATATCAGGGAACCACTACAAGTTTTCCTTAAGGGCCAATTTTTCTATCATTGACTAAACTAACAACCCCTTACTTAATTACATATTTTATAGATATTTCATATTATATTCAATGCATAATAATAACAGTAGAGAACAACTGATAAAATACAAACACAAGAACTGCAGGAAGTTTGTGTAAATGAACAATTTGGGTGAATTTTGAGCAGATTACTTTAGGGATCAGTTTTCCAAATATTTTCAGGAAAATTTTACGAAATGCTCTGTTTGTAGTATTCAATTTATTTATTTGTTTAACAGTCACAAATACTTATTAGACTTCTTTTTTGACAAATTCAGTGTTTTCGTCCCCCTGATGCTTGTTCTATAGGGTTAAACAACTGTTTGGTTGTTATAACAGCATACTTTTTTACTGCAGGACCCACTATGTAAAGTTTTCCTACAGAGAAATCAAGTGGGTGACAAGTGGGGGTCCCATCCCCCAGGTTGGGAACCACTGACATAGATGTCTCCCTTTATTCCTTTCAATTATCTGTGTTCTCTCCCCAAAACATACAGAAAGACAGGAATGGATGGTCTATCTCAGGTGTTTTTTTTTTTTTCAAAGTATTTTTGGGGGCTTTTATT